TTAAATATAAAGACAGTGACCTATGTGGCCATTAGAATATTCTTCTAAGTAATTCTCCTAGTGTTTTAAACTGCCACCATAACTTGCAGATAATAACACTGTCGTTTAGAGGAGGACCCAGTTTTCAGTAGTAAGAGTAAAAAAATACTTGTAAATGAATCAGTCTTGGCAACTTCAATTTTGATTACTTTTAGGATACCTTATCAGTGTCTTTCCAGATATTGTGAAAAACAATTGGACATTTTGAAAGCCATCTTTTTCTGAGACTATGAATACAAATCCTTCTTGGAACAAGTCACATGTTTTATTCTTAACATACTATACTATATCCCCAAGGGGTACGAGCCAGGACAAAAAGCAGTAAATTTGAGGGATTCATGAGAAAATTATATACATAAAATAATAAGAGATCTATCTTAAAACTCCAAAATGGAATGAAAGATTAAAAAAAAAATTTTTTTTGGCTGACTCTGGAAGTGGAGATATTTGTCAAAAATTTCCCCCTATCTTCTTCTCCCTATTTAGGAGACAGTAGCAGTATGAACTATAAGACTGTAGGAATGTGTAGGAATATTCCATGTGAATGAGATGTTAATCTGGAGAACTGAATACTGACCATTTTAAATCTGCATATTTCTTGAGTGACAATATTAGACTTATTGAGTGACAAGATCGATGCCAGTTTAAACACAGACCCCCTTGAATTTTTATTACCTGACAACTACCTCCTGAAAAGAACCCCAGTTTATACCTCATAAGAACAGTTCTACAACATACAAAAACTTATGGGATGCAGCTAAAACAGTCCTTACAGGGAAATATATATCTATAATTACCTATAGCAAGGAAAAAGGATGATCTTAAATCAATAACCTGATCTTTCTTCTTAAGAAACTAAAGCAGAGCAAGCTAAACCAAATAAAGCAGAAGGGGGGGGGGGAATAATAAAGATTAGAACAGAAACAAATGAAACAGAGAATTGAAAAACAGAAGAGAAAATCAACAAAACCAAAAGTTGATTCTTTGAAAAGATCAATGAATTTGACAAACATTTAGCTCGTCTGAGCAAGAAATAGAGAGATGACTCAAATTACTAAAGTCAAGAATTAAAAACAAAGGCTATTCACCTTACAGAAATAGAATTATAAATGAATACTATGAATACTTGTATGTCAACAAATGAGATAATCTAGATGAAATGAACACATTCTTAGAACGACATAAACTACTGAAATGAATGCAAGAAGAAATAGAAAATCTGAATAGGCTGATAACACAAAAAAATTTAATTAGTCAACAAACAATTCTCACAAGAAAAGTACAGGCCCAAGTGGCTTCACTGGTGAATTTTACCAAATATTTAAATAGAAATTAATACCAATACTCACAGACATATCCAAAAAATAGCAGAGGAGGTAATACTTCTTAACTCATTCCTTGAGGCCTGTATTAACTCTCATACCAAAACCAGACAAAGACATCACAAGAAAGACAAACTACAGACAAATATCCCTTATGAATATAGATGCAAAATTCCTCAGGAAAATACTAGAAAACTGAATCCAGTAACACAAAGGAGGATTATACACAATGACCAAGTGAGATTTAGTCCAGGAATGCAAGGTTGTTTTAATACACAAAAGTCAATCAATGTAATATATTATGTGAATATAATACAGAACAAAAATCACATGATTATCTAAGTATACTTCCTATCAAAATCCTAGTTGTCTTTTTTGCAGTAATTGACAAGTTGATCCTAAAACTCATATGGAAATTCAAGAGAACTGGAATACCCAAAACAATACTGAAAAAGAAAAATAAAGTTGGAGGACTCACACTTCCAATTTCAAAACCTACTATAAAGCTACAGTAATTAAAACAGTGTGGTACTGGCATAAGTATATTCATATTGCTTAATGGAATAGAATCAACAGTTTAGAAATAAACCCTTAAGTTTATAGTCAATTGCTTTTGACAAAGGTGCTAAGATAACTCAATGAGGAAAGAACAGTCTTTTCCACAAATTGTGCAAGGATATCCAGTTGCAAAAGAATGAATTTGGACTCTTATGATACACCATATACAAAAATTAACTCAATGTGCTTCATAGACCTAAATGTAAGAGCTAAAATGATGAAACTCTTAGAAGAAAACAGAGGCAAAAATATTTGTGACCTTGGATTAGGCAACAGTTTTTTAGATATGATATCAAAAGCACAAGCAACAACAAAAAAATAGATAAATTGAGCTTTATCATTTGGAACTAGTATTCATGATATAGAAAGAATTCTTACAACTCAATGAAACAAAGAAATGTAATTTATTTTAAAAATGTGAGAAATATTTTTCTCCAAAAGAGATACAAAACTGTCCATAAGTACATAAAAATGTTCAAAATCATTAGTCATTAGTTAAATGCATATCAAAACCACAACAAGATACCACTCTGCATTTGTTCAGATGGTTATAATAGAAAATGGAAAATAACAGGTGTTGATACAGATGTGGAAAAATCGGAAGCCTCATGCACTGTTGGTAGGAATGTTAAATAGTGAAGTCCTTTGGTAACAGTATGGTAGTTTTTCAATAAATCAATATATCTATTTTTATGCCAGTACCCCCTACCCTTCCTTCCTGCATTCCTTGGTCCCTCCCACTCTCTCTTCCTTTTTCACTTCTTCTCTCCTTTCCTTTTGGATTATCTTTTATTGGATTTTAGAATCAAGGTTTGCTACCTAGTAAAATAGACTAGAGGAATTTTCTTTTTCTATAATTCAGAGTAGTTTAATAAATATGAAATATTTGTTCTTTAAGGTGATATACAATACAGCCATGAAAACTATTTGAATTGGTAAAAAGATTTTATATTTCTAAAATCCTCTGTGATTATTAGTTTGGCCAGATTTTCTCATTTTTCTTAAGTCAGTTTCTTATGTTCATCCTTCTACTTCTGTCTTTTGTTTTTCAATAATTTCAGCTTTCTTTTTATTGATGCCATTATTTTTCTTGTTTTGGTTTACTATAATTTTTTTAACTGTTTGTCAAAGTGAATATTTATTTCACATTAAGTTGTTTTTATTTGATAATAAAGGCTTTTCAACTATCATCTGAGTCTTATTTTAGTTGTGCCATATGAACTAGTGTAATGTTTCTAAGTACTTCTGAAATAATTTATAATTTGTTTTTCTCTTGGATTATTGAAAATTTTTAATTTTTAAAATTAAAAAAATTTTTAACATCTTTATTGGAGGATAATTGCTTTACAATGGTGTGTTAGTTTCTGCTTTATAACAAAGTGAATCAGCTATACATGTACATATATCCCCATATCTCCTCCCTCTTGAGTCTCCCTCCCACCCTCCCTATCCCACCCCTCTAGGTGGTCACAAAGCACTGAGCTGATCTCCCTGTGCTATGTGGCTCCTTCCCACTAGCTATCTATTTTACATTTGGTCACTACCAAATATATGCCCATGCCACTCTCTCACTTCGTCCCAGCTTACCCTTCCCCCTCCCCGTGTCCTCAAGTCCATCTCTACATCTGCGTCTTTATTCCTGTCCCGCCCCTAGGTTCTTCAGAACCATTTTTAAAAAAAATTTTTAATTTATAAAATTTTTATCCTTTAATATAAGCTTTTATTGGATTATATTTAAAGAATGAGACCTATGAAATATATCCTTTTTAAAACTTCTAGAATTTTTAAAATGTTATGTAAAATTGATGTATATTTTCTATGAACATAAGAATAAATGCTCTCTGTTTTTAATGTACTATTTTATATATACATATATCTTCAAGCAGTTAATTGAATTAATTAAATAATTAATATTCTTGATATTTTAACTGCTCACTCTGTAAAATTCTGGAAAAGATATAATATTTTCCTATAATTATATTTTAATCAAGTTAATCTTTTTATCCCAGTTCTTAATTTTTTTTAATTTTCATGCTTCTTGTTGCTTAAAAAGTATTACCATTTTATCTTTTTGATGAATTATATCCTTTGCCAATATGTAACAATGTCCCCTTTTTCTATTTCAATGTCATTAGCTTTAAATTTTACTTTATCCAATATTAATTATGAATATCAAATATTAAATATCTAATCTTTTAAATCTGTTTGCATTTACCCCTTTTTTAGTTTTGATAGTCCATTGTCACTGATTTGGATGTATTTTTCAAAAACAACAAAGAGCTGCTTTAAAAATAAAACAGTTTGATTATCTGCCTTTTAGTAGGAGAAAGCAACCTTTTACTATTTATTGAAATGGTTGAAAGGCTTGCTTATATTTCTTCTATCTCATTTTATTTTTGCTGTTATTTTATTTTTGTTTACTTAAAAATTTTCTGGTTTGATCAAGTTTTAGTTAATTCTTTTTTCCTTCTTACATATTTGAAGTTTCATGGCTGTCAAATTTGTTGGTATAACGCATTCATTCATTGCCAAATTAAAGGTCAATTATATTCTCACCATTGAGGGTACATGGTGAACAAGAGAGTTAAGGTGTTTGCTGCCATGAACTTTATATTCTGGTGGAGGCTGACAGATTATCAACCAACCAACAATAAGTAATCACTTAATATACAAGAAAATATAAGATAAATACAGTGTAGAGAAATCAAATAGCAAAATATAATAGCAAGTGACTGGGAGGCTTCTTAGAAGTATCATTTCAGTTTTGCCATCTTCCATGCTCTGGCAGGTGCCTCTTAAAAAGGCACAGTCACCATCTTCTCAGAATTCCCAATGCTTTTCCCTTTGCCTTTCTAGATAAGTTTACACAGACACATGTACAGATTTTTATTTTTTTTCTCATTTTAACATAATGTACATATGGAACTTGCATTGGGGAAAAGAGAACGTATGTGTTTCAGTAAGATTAATTTTTTTCCTTCAGCAGAACTGAATGTTCTTCCACTCTGACATTTCATTAATTTTGCTTCAAGGAAAAGAAATGAGTCGACTGAAAGTGGAAAAAATGATAGTAGTAGCATATTGTGGTAATATATTTATTTCATGTCAAATTAAATCAATAAAAGATGTTAACATTATCTTGTAATACTTCCATAATTTTGTGGATATTTTGAAGATTTTTTTCAAGAAAGTTGGCCAACAGCTGATTTACACCATAGTTGCAGAATGCTGATTGATATCACAGCTTCTGATTGTGACAAAATATTATAATTTTGAGAGAATAAAATGCATTAAGATCAAAGCAGTACTATTAATTTACTTCAGGTTCAAAATTTCTCTATCTAGCCCTACAAGACATAAGAATTTTGGACAATTGAGACTTTCATTTCATCATTAGTAAACCTTAATTTATTTTTATATTGTTTGCAATAGAGTGTTAAACAATACTTTCAAAGTCTTAACTATTCATTTTCCAGATAGTTATCATTAATAATTCAGTTTTTATGGAAAGCTGGTTTTCTTAACCCTTTAAAAAATCACTGGGATGTTTTCAAGAGTACAATAACATAAGAGTAATTAAAATTATCTTAAATTCTTACTTGACTAGAGCTACTTCAGACACATTTTTTGTGTGTCTGTGCAGCTCTAAGAGAAAATCCATATTTGGCTTTATTTGTTATATTACATGATAGTTGGTTTGATGTTATTTAAAACTGAGATACTAAGCACTTACTGGGTTTTTGATTAGTAACTGGCAAACTTCAAAAGGCCTGGATATTTGGTTTGGATAAAACTTGATTAGTTTGGATGGCTATTCAGATTTCCCCCCAAATCTCTAGGGCCTCTTTCCAGGTCTTCCCTGTCTGAATATTTCATTCTTCACCCATCTCCCAAGAGACTGAATTTCATGTTTTTAGGACTGCAGTTCCTAGTTAAATATTCTTGAAGCCTGTCTTTATAAAGATTGACAGGTCATATGACCAACTATTTTTTAGAACCTTTATATTCATCATCTTTATACATAGATAATTTTCTTTTCCTATTATCAGAATCATGGACTTTTAGAACTATATGGGAAGATTTGAGATCATCTAATCAATTCTAGTTATACATGTTAGGAAAATGAGTTTTCTAAGGTCCTTTAAATATGTAAGCTCAGTTGTTAAATGGAGTACAAGTAGTTCAAATAAGACTGTTGTAAGTGATAAATCAGATAATATACTAAAGATATCTGGCCATATTAGGCTACACTCACGTACACAAACACACGCCTTTTACTTTTCTTCCTTCTTTTCACATAGAGTGAGTTAGTGGATAAACATAGACTGGACTCTACCTCATGGATCCTCTTTTGACCACAATTCCTAAAATCCTCTTCCTTATTTCTCTCCTGATCTAGAACCATTTCCTCTTTTTTTCCTTTTCCTTTCCATGATATTTATTTTTCTCTTTGCCTCTTCAATCTTTGCCTTTCTAGTCATATGGGTTTTTTACCCCTATATTGTTTTCTGGGATTAATAGCCAGAATTTCAAGAATGCCATCAATATTATATATTGTTCAGCTCTTAATAATCCATCTCAAAGAGATGAGCAGAAGGATGTAAATTATATACTATGTGATTTTTATGTTCAAAGATATTCCATATAGAAATTATATGTGTTATAGAGATCATTGATAAGCAAATATTTTCCTTTTGATTAGAGTTACTGATTGTAGAATATTTTCTATGTATCAGCTACTATGTTAAGCCCTTTGTACAATCATTTTTATAATCCTCATAGGTTTCTAATGAAATGCATATTTCCTCAGTTTGGAACATTCTGCCTCCTGATTGTCACACAGGAGGATTTTCCTCTGGTTTCGCCTCAAAAATCTCCTCCTCAGAGATGCTTCCACAATATCTCATCTGAAGAGTGTCCCAGGCTCTCCTTAACACATCTTACTTTTATTTCTTACTACCTATCATATAAATATATAAAATTATCTTAGTTGCTTTCTTGTTATTGTTTTCCCTGCCCTGACAACTGTAATTTAAGCCCCATGATATCATAGATCTTGTCTGTCTTGTTCATTGCTGAATTTCTAGCACCTAGAATGGTGCCGAGTACAAATGGATGTTCAATAATTATCAAATGATTTCATGTTACTTCAACTGAACCATATCTAGTAAGGCTGATTAACTTACGCAAATTACAGAGCTAGTGAGGGGCAGAATCGGCTGTCATACCCATGTTTCCACCATTTCAACATCCATGTTCCTCACCACAACCTTTGATTGCTCTCAGACTATCTTTGGATTCTACCTGAAAAAGAAAATGAAAACAAAAGCCATTACATTCTTGTGTGTGCCAAGTCAGGGTCACACACTTTCAAATATTCTAGACAAAATTATTGCTAAACAGCCATGCATGTTTTCCAGATTCTCATATTTATTACAGATATATTGTAATGATTTAGTCATTAATGGGACATTCATTTCTTCCTTTACTTATTAGGAAATTTCAAGGAGATCCTTTTGATCCTTTTTTCATATTGTGATCTAAGACTGTGACCAGCTTTTGAACTTCTCTTATGTTTATTCATTCAGTACTCTGTAGCCTACAAAATAAATTATAGTAGTTCATTGGTCCAAGAATTTTTGCACTTAATGTTTATGACATACATTATCAGATCTGACCATGGCATTTGAATAATTTGTGAGGTACCCAAGCTTCCAGTACCCTTAAAATAGTTTCTGATTTATTGTTATGACAATCTGGGAGCTGGAATTTATTGGTATTATGTTTTCAACATCACTGGTACCACCATGTTATTACCCAAAGAATTAAGATTTCAGTCCTTGAAGGAGAAAAATGTTGGCATTTCCTTCTCTATAATTTATCCATGAATGAGCATCAACTATTTATGAGGAGAAGGAAGAAATTAGAAGTGTTATCTTTTATCGTTAACTGAAAACAGAAAGATACATTATCTGTTGTTTAAAGGGATTTTCAGTAAATACATTTGTTTTATATTTTGCTAAGTTGTTTTTTAAAATGGAAATTATGTCATAGAAGCAATTTTATTTTGAGAGTCTTTTAATAGGTAAAATAGAGAAGTTTATTAATGATTAGATATAGATATATAAGAAAGTTAAGTATACCAAATAAAGCAGTTTAAATCTATCTTATTCAAAATATTGGGGTGAAAGAAACTCAGAAGACATGTAATTCCAGCTACTCAATTATATAAATGTTTTCAATTGGATTGCTAGAAAAAGATTTTAAATGTCATCTAAAAATAAAGGTTGTAAACAAATTACCTTTTAATCTCCTTTTCTGAACACTGATTGATTTTATATAAAAGTTTCATGAAGAAAATATTTTGGTATATGCTATTACGTCATTGTTTTCACATAATTTGTGGTTACTATAGGTAGACTCTGTTAAGGAAGACACAGGCTAAAGGCTACCTACAGGAAATAAAAATACAAGAAGTTGAAAGAGGCTTCTACTTTAACAAGATAGTCATAATCCTGGAACTACAGAACATTCAGAAAGATTTAAAGTTTACATTTTACTCTAATTGATATTGAGATTTTTCCTCAAAATATTTTTAAATTTTAAAAATCTGTATATATTTTAACTGTTTTAAATGAAACTAATGATATATTGTTGAAAACATACATGGAAAACATTTGAAGTATAGCTTTATGATGTAGCATATTAGAGTATTCTGGGCTTACGTGGCTTTCTAAAATAATTTACAATTCATTAAACTGATTTTACTATGGAAATTTTTTTTACTTGAACCCCTATTCTTTGATTTTTCTAAAACATATTTGAGAGGTCAATGTTACTACTTAGTGCCTATAATTATATTTCAACATTGTGAGGTCTGCCTCTTTGTAAGGTCAGCCGTAGTATTTTATGATTATTCCTGATGAAAATGTTATTTGATATATTTCATTTCTTTTGTAAACTAGTAGCTTTTCCTAGTAGTAATATGACTTTAATTTATTTAAGTACAAGAAGATATATGTTTGCCAGCATAAATCTGAGAAAGCCAGCCATCCGAGACTTGTTTTAAAAGCAGAGTGCTCATAGAGGCTATAGTAGAATTAAGGCCAACCAAAGTCATTTTCATTAGTTTTCTTGGTTCACCTGTATTTAAATAGTAGCCAAACCAACTTTGTTTGTAGAAGTATTTGTAAAAACTGTTATGGCTCACTATGAGACCAGCTCTTTCAAAGTGCCTCAATGATGATGTAGGAGTTTCCAGGTTATTTGGGATAAATTTGTTTAAACTGCTTATCTTGACAAGGATGCTCTCTTTAAGCTGAAGAGCCTATCTCTCTACCCATGATTGTCCGAAAATCTACTCTTTGCACTTACATCTATAATGCTCAATGTTGAATGTATGCATATTGAAATATTTCTCCATTATGTCAGTAATATTTAGATGTTAAGTGTGGGTACTGTTGGAAGTTCTCTTAAATCATAAAGGTGCTTGGAGATGACATGCAAACTAAGTTAGTTTTAATAAAAAGTTTAAACACTATAAAGATTTGGTTTATTATACTGATACGTGAGGGGAATCTGTACGCAAAGTGGATCATTTACAGCTTTCACTGAAATTAAAGTTTTTAATTTACCTGTTTAATTTACCTTAAACATTACCTGTGCATTTCATAGAATTACAAGGTATACCTAAGGTAGAACAATATTGATATTAACTTGTGATTCTCCAATTTTTTTTTTTTTTTTTTTGGCGGTGCGCGGGCCTCTCACTGTTGTGGCCTCTCCTGTTGCGGAGCACAGGCTCTGGACGTGCAGGTTCAGCGGCCATGGCTCACGGGCCCAGCCGCTCCGCGGCATGTGGGATCTTCCCAGACCGGGGCACGAACCCGTGTCCCCTGCATCGGCAGGCGGACTCTCAACCACTGTGCCACCAGGGAAGCCCTGATTCTCCAATTTTATTTTGACTTGAGTCAAAATTTTATTCTGACAATATATGGGGAAAGTAAATAACTGAGCTAAAAATGGTTATGATAAAACTTTGGTGTTCAGGAATATGTTGCTTACAGTAGTGTTTCTTTTATTTTTAAAGAAGATTTATGTATTCATACAAATTGAATAATCTAAAATAAAAGGAAGGCTTAATGATTTTTCTTAAGAAAAATTTCTAAAGCTGAAATTCTAAAAAAGCTTTTTTCCTCTTTTTTAATTGAAGTATAGCTGATGTACAATATTTTATGTTAACAGGTGTACAATATAGTGTTTCACAATTTTTAAAGGTTATGCTCCATTTATAATTATTATAAAATATTGGCTATATTCCCCGTGTTGTACAATATTTTCTTGTATTATTTTATGCATAATAGTTTGTACCTCTTAATCACCTACCCCTATATTGTCCTTCCCTACTTCCCTCTCCTTACTGGTAACCACTAGTTTCTTCTCTGTATCTGTGCATCTGCTTCTTTTTTGTTATATTCACTAGTGTGCTGTATTTTTTAGAGTCCACATATAAGTGATATTGTACAGTATTTGTCTTTCTCTGGCTTATTTCACTTAGCATAATACCCTCCAAATCCATCCATGTTGCTGCAAATGGCAAAATTTCATTTTTCTTTTTATGGCTGAGTAGTATTCCACTGTAAATATATACCACATCTTCTACATCCGTTTATCTGTTGATGGACACTTAGGTTGTTTCCATATCTTGGCTATTGTAAATAATGCTGCTATGAACATTGGGGTGCATGTATCTTTTCAAATTAGAGTTTTTGGTTTTTTTCGGATATATACCCAGGAGTGGAATTGAAGCATGGGACAAATCAGAATCATTTATGGAAAATCTCAATGTACATCTTTATACACAAAAAAACTTAAACCAGAGCCATAAATGAGAGCAAGGCCTTCGGAGAGAAACAGACCTGGCTTTGATTTTTAACCTTGTGCCTTACTAAAAATATAAAGCCGGATAATTTTCTCAAAGCCAGATCACAAACTTAAAAGCCTACAATGACCCAGCAAAACTGAAACGAGAAATTGGCAGGATGGGGACTTGGTGATCTGGATGTCTGTGCCTCATCCAAACTGGAAGTCACTTGTTTCCATGCTCAGTGTTACTAGATCTTTTGATTTCCAAGAGAAGGTGGATATATGTATTTCTGTGTTCAATCCTCTGGTTTTTAAGTTTGGCAAGTAATTAAAATATTCTAAAAATACATCTTTGGCTGAGATTCATCCTGTGCACACCAGATTGTGTTGTATACTTTCATATTAATCAAATAAACTTTTATTTATTTCCTCATAAGGAAGAGGATTTTTGTGAAGATTAATGAGCTGTTAAAGTTCCTGACATGTTGCAGATCTTTAATAATGGTTGGTTCCCACTGAACTTTCCTACTCAGTTTTCAACTTCTTTTCCCTTATCAGTAGAAACAGTTAATAAAAGCTGCATCTATTGTGCAGTTTTTAGCTTTTGTGTTTATTATGAGATATGGATTTAGCTTTTGTATTTAATACACTGTGTTTAACTATTCAAAACTATCAAACAGAAAGTATGTTTCCTTTATCAACTTTTGGAAAAAATATTTTCACAAGGTGTCTACATAAATGGAAAAGGCATGGTTTATATAATTACTTAAGCTACTTTAAAGATCCATGAAGTATTCCTTGGCAGATTCTTCCAATCCTTATTGTTACTTAATATCCATATGACAAGAGACATATACATGACAACATTAAGCCACTATTAAAGATAAATGAAAAAAGTTAAAGAAATGCATGAAGATATAGACACCATAATATTAATAAAAGTTTTCCCATTCTGGTGATTTTTACTTTCTTTATATTTGTGTGTCTCTTTTCAAAGTTTTATGTTGTGTAAATATTATTGATATAATTAGAAGAAATAATAAAGCTATTTCATCTAGATAAAGAAATATGAATGAGAACTATTTTAGAAAAATAGATCATAATATATTTTCTACTTGTAATATAAAAGTATTTAATTCACTTTCACTTGAATTAAGCTATAGTTAAAGGAATTGAAGTGAAACTTAAGAAACTGTCAGAGTAGAATAAATATATTTTTGTTCAAGTGATCTTAATTACAAAAATATGTGTCTAAAAGTAACAGGATATATATTATTAAGCTATTTTTAAAAAGAAAAAAAGAGGATACACTATATTCAGAGGAACCACTGGATGATTAGGTTGTAATAGTGAATCATTATGTGTGATAAATGTAACTATGACAACTCCTCTGGTCAAATAAATGAACTTCTTTTCAAGTAGTCCTCTCTTCTGAAATT